CCATAATTGGTTTTTATGAATATAGTAGCAAACCACTCTGCTTGCAGGACTCCTTGTCCAAAACATCAAAGCTTTTATAGAAACACACAAACATGGAGGTAGAATTGAAGTTATTATACTAGGTGTTTGCACTGGATCATAAAAACACCCTCATTTTACAATGAATGACTTATCTCAAGTGTTGGCTTAAAACATGGAATGGGAAATAGAAGGCTCTGCATGACACTTTTGCATTTGAACAACTGTGCAATGAGCGTAACAAACCAGTAAAACAAAATCCTAATACACCCCATCTCATTACTTTGTAAATCAGTCTGAAGGAGTCTGAAATCAAATTGGGTTCAGATGTCATTAAGTTTAACTAAATCTCTAGCTTTGCATTTACAATAGATTCTTCATTTCCATGGAGAATACACTACTAGGAAACCTCGTTTTATTTTATCAATCCCTTTAAAAAGGGAAGAACAGTGCCTAGCTTAAACGATTGTCTCACCTTCACATTCAATGTTGACACTTATTGTATATTTCTTAACCTGAGGAACTAAAGTACTGAGAGCTGAACTGGAATTTTATACTGACCTACACACTGCTTTTTATCGATCTGTTTTATGTTAAAAAAATACAAGATGAAGTATACTAGAAGGTTTGAAATCCCCTTCTCCAAATTCTCTAACAGCATCTTCTCATGTAAAACCCACAGATAGAGCATTTCTTTGTAAATGCTCAACAATTCTCATCATGTCAGATACTCAACTGGCATCTAAGCCATGTGGAACTGATCACAGAGGCCACTTACAAACACAAATATTTGTAGAATCAAATTCTTAACTTGGAAATTTTTGTTACTTTGCACACATTACTTTCAATATTCATCCAGATCTTGTATGATATTGTTTCTAATATCATTAAGAAAAAAGCATTGAGCATCAACTTCGGAGCATTTTTCATGATTTCTAGTTTCACCTTGCTGCTTCTGAGAAAATTAGTATTCTGAATCTATTTTATCATGCTTCTCCTAATATTCACACTGCCTCTATAGAGCTTTTAACCAATATCCAATGCAATAGACTAGAGTCTCTTTCATTTTGTAAATTAGGTGAAAAATTAAAGGAATAAAATAAAATTTTTAGGATAGCAAAAGCAAAAGTACAGTTCGAAGTCTAAAGATGTGTATTATAAAACTTCCCAAAAGTATCATTCAAATGGAGTATTATTCAAATGCATTTAATTCAAAAAGCAGAAATTGTTTGAACTCTATCCTGAAATTTCAGGATCTTTGCAGAACTTCAGTTATTTTGCACATTTTGGAACACTAAACTCAGTGTTAGTCTTGACCACACACAAATCTTTTGTTAAGCATTCATGTCAATCAGAGCAGTAAATGAGCTAAGAAAGGAGTTCCTCTAATCACATTATAAGCTAGCTTTGTTGTTTGTTTTTTAAGAAGAAACTCACTACTTTTTCCACAATACACAGCTTGTATTCTTTTGTGGCTGCTCCAGGAAAGGAAAAAAACGAGTAGCTGAGCTTACTGCAGCTAATCAAACCAGTTAAAGTGGTAAAATCCTCATCGAGCAAATCTTCAGGAAGAAAACTCTAGAAACATTAAGCGGCTTACTTTCTCACTGGCAGATTGGGAAGGAGAAGGGACAGGACATAACAGCCCCTTCTCTCACATGAGAATCATTAGCATTTACAAAGTCTGAGCTTTGAAGGGAAGAAAAGCTTCCAGACACATTCTGCAAAGGAAACCTTTCAAACATCAACTGAGTGCAAATAAACGATGTGCCAAGTCTGCTACAGAGAGAAAACCTGAATGCCAGAAAGTTTCTCCCCCCCTTTCTTGGAAGACAGAAAGAGAAAGACAGATTGTTTATGCCTAGTCCTATATTGAAGTTCCCATAGAGTTCTTAACTCTTAATGTACAAGCACTAGAAGTGCAATTCATCAGTAAGCAGGAAAGAAAACTGATCAGCTCTAGCGAACTGACTTAATCATCACACCACGAGATTTTTAGTAATTTCAGAAAGCTTTGCTACCACATCAGGCTAAATGCTATAATGTTACTGATACCAAACATCAGATCTGGACTTCCCAGGAAGCCTAGGGGTAAGTGACAGAAAATCAGATCGTTCTGTTCCCGAGTCTTCACATGAAAGAAAGGGTTTAATATTGAAAACAAAGAAACATTGTTTCAGAGAAAGAATTTAACTCAACAGTAAGATTAGGATAATCAAGCATGTAAAATTAAGGATCACTGAAAGTCCTGCAAATGTATCAACTTATAAACACTGTAGCAGTCCGTATAAAAATAGATATCTTTAGAATTTATTTTGCTCTGCTATGCAGAACCAATTCCTGACTCCTAAGGACAAAGCAGCAGGTATGAGAAGGGAAAAAAACAAGTCTATAGAAATGATGAAAATACATTTTTAGTTTATATCCCACTCCTCTGTTGCATAAAATGCATGGGAAAAGAAAATATGCAGAATTATTTTGGAAGAAACGGAATCAATTTCAGTCTAATTGGATTCTGCAGAAAGCTGTGCAAGTCAGTCTTACCCTGAAGCTGAAAAATTTACATATACAATAGAATCACACCTTACTGTTCGTTTTGACATCATTTCATTGGTCTCTCAAAATAACTGGGCCTGTTAGCAGATTTCTTAACTTTGGGGTTGGTTTATCTGTTAAAAGAACCACATTTTGCACATTTCTTATTTTCCCTAGTCTTGGTTCCATGCCTTCTATACCCCTATCTGGAAAAGTCTAATAAGTACAAACCTACTTTTAGAAGAGAGATGACAAAACAGAATACTGTCTGTATTCTCTTCAGTAGAATTATGTCATTTATGAAGAACTTGGAGACCCCTCAAGGACCAAATTTACCCAGATCCTTTACGCAGTTAACCTAGTCCATAGGAGTAAAGGGTGGGTCTCAATGTCTGCATACTACTGACGTGGCACTGGAAAAATTCAACTGACTAGCAGCTGAAAAACACCTTTATTTCTGCGCAGGACACATGCCGGGGTCACCCCACCATACGTGTGCACCCGCTTCTTGAAAGCGTGAGCCTTAATAATTTTCTGTAAGGTAAGGCCTAAGGCAGTACAGTTTTGTTTTGGTTTTTTTTGCAGGGAGGGTATCATTACTAGCTTTTACTGCATATCTGACGTAATATGGGGGCTTCGGATCTATGCACCCTACTTCACACTGATCAGGGGGAGGAGCTCTTTTAATTTTTAATCAAGGGTCATGGCTAGTCCACGACGCTTCAGTTTCACATCCCCAGTAGTAGCAATGATATTCTCCCATGTCACGGCACTGTGGTGACCCTGTGGAGGGGCATGCATAATATTGTTCACTTTGTAATTGTTGTTCGTCTCTTTTGCTCCCACATCCGAACTTCACCCCAACTCTTCCTCCCCTAGAGCTTGTTACTGGGGGCCTAGGCGAGATTACCTCCAACTTACATAAGTCCACTTTTAACGTTTGCGATTGGATGCCAGTACGATTGACAGTTAATGATTCTCCTGTTATTGCATTTCACAGCTCCCATTCTCACTCGGATTCCAGGAAGAAGCTCATGGGGAGAACATTTCAAGCAGGAGTAGCAGGATCATTCTGTAAAGAGACTAAGTGGTTCATGTAAAAGTTAGTTTATTATTTCCTTGATTGGTAACTTGCCATGGTCCAACAGGCGCTCTCTTGATCCTAGAATAATGGATCCAGGTGCTTCTTTCTTTAACCTTGACTGCAGTATAAGTGGTTAATAAAACTTGAAATGGCCCTTCGCATTGTGGTAAGAGCGGGTCTGCTTTTGTAGTTTTGATATATACAAAATCACCAGGTTTGATGGCATGAAGTGGGCTATCCAATCCTCTAGCCTTAGTGGCTATCACCTGTTTACCTATACTGTGAATCTGCTTGGATAATTCTATAATGTAATTATCAAAGGTATGAACATCATTCACAATCGGAATTCTGGGTACATTATACGGCTTTCCAAAAATGATCTCAAAAGGACTTAAGAATTCTCTGCTCCTTGGCTTTGCTCTGATACGGAGTAATGCCAAGGGCAATGCTTGTGGCCATATTAGATTCGCCTCTTGCCTTAGCTTGACGATTTGTAGCTTGATTAAATGATTCATTTTCTCTACCTGTCCGCTCGCTTGAGGGTGGTATGGTGTGCGTAACTGCCAGGTGATCTCCAGTATGTGGCTAACTTCCTGGGTAATTTTTGACTTGAAGTGCAGTCCTCTGTCAGAGGAAATAACATTGGGGACACCGAACTTAGGAATAATGTCCGTTATTAAATTTCTTTTACTTTGTTGGTTTTGGTGGGGAAGGCTTCAGGCCATCCTGAGAATGTATCTGCTAATACTAAGAGGTATCGGAACCCCCTTTTCTAGGCAGTTCAGTGAAATCTATTTGCCACTGCTGCCCTGGGGCAAGACCTTTTCCTATGACTCCTAATTGAATTTTGTCTGACCATCGCGGGTTACTACGCAAACGTACTTCGCAACGTTTGGTTACGTCTCTGATTGTGCTATATAGGTTTCAGGCTACAATCCTTGGTCGTAAATGTTTATCTAGAGTGTCTGCCCCTCAGTGTCCTTTTAAATGCTCTTGCCTAACAATTGCCCATAAAATTGAGGTTGGTATTACTACTTGTCCCTGGGCCGTTTTGTACCATCCCCCTTCAAATTCAGTATCCCCAGGTCATTAATTAACTGCATATCACTTTTAGTATACTCTGGTGCTGCTGGAAGTTTTACTTGCCCATCTGGAATTTGCGTCGCTTCCAAGGGGTTTACAGTTAATGCTGCTCATTTTGCTGCCACATCTGACAGGTTATTTCCTCTCTCTGCGTCACTGGTCCCTCATTGGTGGGCCTTGACATGCATCACAGCAGCTCTTCGTGGTAATTGCACTGCTGCAAGAAGACGCAAAATTTCTTGTGAATGTTGTATGCCCTTCCCTTGTGAAGTAAGCATACCTCGCTCTTTCCAAATGGCTCCATGTGCATGTAGGACCCCAAAGGCATATCTGGAATCCGTATAGATATTTACATCTCGGTCTTTAGCCATTTCTAAGGATTTAGTTAGAGCAATGAGTTCCACCTTCTGTGCTGATGTTTCTGTGGGTAAAGGTTGAGAGGTTATTTCACGGTTTAATGAAATTACTGAGAACCTGGCATACTCTTTTCCGCTCTTTACAAAACTACTACTATTAGTGAACCAGGTTTCTGCCTGGGATATTGGTTCATCTTTAAAGTCCGTCTGGCTAGAATATGTCGCTTTTATGGTTTGTAGATAATCATGTTCTACTCCTTCTCCAACATTACCACTTAGAAAAGATGCAGGATTGACAATATTCGTCACTCGGATATTGACGTCATCTTGTTCTACTAATGCGGCTTGACATTTTAGAAACCTTTGTGGTGAGAGTGCCCGCCTTTAGTTTCGAGAACAGCAGACATTGTACGAGAAACAAACACAGTTACCTTTTGTCCAAACGTGAATTTTCGAGCTTCTTGAAGGTTCAAAATGACAGCTGCTACTGCCCTAAGACAGCTTGGCTAACTTTTCGCCGTGTTGTTGAGTTGTTTGGAGAAGTAGGCCACCGGCCTTCGATATCCTCTCAGCCCCAAGAAATTTAACAGTGACACTGTCCAATTCATATTTTCCGCACGGGTTTTAGTGGCGATTAGGATATCATCTACATATTGTAGGATTTTCCCTTCTCCTCCGGGAGCAGTACAGCACTCCAAATCTTTAGTTAATTGACTTCCGAACAGTGTTGGGCTATTTTTGAACCCTTGCGGTAGCACTATGTCAATTGTATTTTCCGGCCTTTGGCCGTAGTTTCCCATTCGAAAGCAAAGATCAGTTGGCTTTCTTCTGCTAAAGGCAGGCAGAAGAAAGCATCTTTTAAGTCCAGTACTGAAAACCACCGTAGCTCAGACCTCAAAGAGCTTAATAAAGTGTAAGGGTTAGCAACTCTAGGGTAAATATTTTCAGTAATCTCATTGATTTTTCTAAGGTCTTGTACCAACCGAAAGCTACCGTCTGGCTTCTTTACTGGTAGGATCGGAGTATTAAATGGTGATTGGCATTCTACTAACAGACCCAGTTTTAGGAATTGTTCTATTATTGGTTGGACATCTTCTTTGCTTTCCTCTTTTAACGGATATTGTTTTAGTGCCACAGGGTTAGCTCCTTGTTTTATCTTTACTCGAATGGACTCTGCATATTCAGCTTTCCCTGGTATGTCTGTTGCCCATACTTGTGGGTAGACTTGATTTTCAACCTCTTGTGGGATCGTATTGTCGGCTTTCAAATTTATGAGGACAAGACTTAATGCTTGAGTGTAATTTCCTTCTGGTAGTTCTAATGTCATGTTTCCCGACTGAAATTATACGGTTGCGTTGAGTTGACTAAGTAAATCTCTTCCCATTAATGGCTTGGGGGATCCTGGTGGGGTTAAGAACTGGTGAATTCCCCACTTTTTCCCAGTTTGGTATTTTAGGGGTTTTAGAAAATAGGCCCATTCTACTGACCCTGTCACTCATTTTACATTAATATAATCTTGGTCTGGGGGTAAGAGCTTTTCATTCAGCACTGAGAATGTGGCTCTGGTATTTACTAGAAATTCTACTTTTTATTTATTTTTCCCCAGTATATAACCAGTGGATCTGCTGGGGACAAATCTCCCGGTCCCCCTTAATCTAAGTTTGCCTCTACACGATATGGCTGTTTGGGTTTCGGGCGCAGGTTTTGGCGACACTTATTTTTCCAATGCTCAAATACTTTACAAAGGGTGCATTGGTTCTTTTTCATGAGCTGCGGTAACCTGTTTTTATTGCCTGGAGTCGGAGTTTGAGTTAGGGCTAGAATTCGCTTTGTACTTTCTGAAAACCCTCCAAGCCTTTTCAAGTAGTACCTCTAAATTCCTTCCTTCATCTGCTCTCAATTTCTGTAATTTTCTCCTAATATCCCCTGTGGATTGACCAAGGAATAGCAAAACTAGTTGTTGGATCCCTATTTCAGACCCCGGGTCCAAGGGGGTGCTATGCCTCATAGTTTCACGAAAGCGTTCTAAAAATTCAGATGAGGTTTCATTGCATACAATACAGCCCAGTTTACTGATTTAGGTATTGCTTTTTCCATTCTTTCCGTGATCCAGTTTTGGTAATGGGAGAGGTATTCTTTACAGGCTGCAGTATTCAGGTCCCATTTCGGATCTCGGAGGGAGAAATACTCTTTTTCATCGAGCTCATGAGCTTTCAGCTTGTCTTTTGCTAAATCATTAGCAGTCTTAAGGACTAGTTGTTTCTTCCTTTTCTGTCATTAGGCCTAATAACAGTTGTATGTCTTCCTAGTCAGGGTTATGTTGTTTTACTGAAAACTTGAATTGTTTGGTGACCTCCAACTGGGTCTGATCTATAACCCCGAACAATTTCTTTTCAATTTTGCAAATCTACTGAATTAAAGGGAACATTTACCAGAGGGTTCCTCCTTCTGGGGCTACCGCCTGTCGGAGAGGTGCAATGGTAGTCTCTGTGTGACTGCGTGTTCTTAAAGAAATGGGTTGTTCCATATTCTTATTTTGGTCCATTTCTTTTTTCTCATTATCATGAGTTTCTGATGCATTTCCCCGTGGCTTAACAGGAGGACCCAGAAGATCTGTTAGGTCCTCATCAATATTATAGTCTTCGACCCTACCCCTTGTCCTTTATACATCTATGTCCTATTGAACAAGCAGAACAACACCTTTTCAGTTTTCCTTTATCATTTGCCTTAAAATCTCTTTCCATTGCTAGAACCAGGGGATCACTTGGTACGCGTAACCCACAATCCCACTGCCATTCTGGATGGTCTCGCAATGTGAAAAACATATCTGCATATGGGATCTCATCCCATTTTTCTAATCTTCTCAAAAACAACATTAACTGTAATATAGTATTATAATTTAAGCTCTCATTTTGGGGCCATTTTTCTCCATTTTCTAATTTGTATAATGGCTACCATTGATTACAATTTTAATTAGAATATTTTTACGTTCGGTCCCACCCGGACCCCCCACAATATCCCGCCAATGTTTCCTTTGAGCCTCCCAAACCCATATTCCCAGTACTTCAGAGATGTCAGCCTTGTCCGTCGCCACCCTCTTGTACAATCGCTGGATGGTCTGTAGGACGTAGACAAATTGGAATTTCCTTTGATCCCTTTAAACCCATTATTGCCAGTTACCTCGTTAGACGCGTCTGTCGCCACCCTCTTATACAATCACTGGATGGTCCTTGAGACGCTGACGAAGTGAGATACTGGCCCCAAGGCAGACGTCTCCGCACCCAAGGTCCTGCACGGGCATCCCCAACGACTTATGGGTCATTCCCTTAAAGGTGCTCCAGCGCTTAACCCAGAAGGCGTCTCCTCCATGTTCAAGGATGCCCCGGAAAGCATCTGGCCGAGGAATTCCTCGGGGCGCTCCCAGGACCGCAGTCTGGTGCCCGTTAAGCACAGAGAAGACTCCTGCCTGGCTCGCCAAAACTGATGTGGCACTGGAAAAATTCAACTGACTAGCAGCTGAAAAACACCTTTATTTCTGCGCAGGACACATGCCGGGGTCACCCCACCATACGTGTGCGCCCGGTTCTTGAAAGCGTGAGCCTTAAATACATTCCATTATTGTGCAAGATACGCCTGTACATACATCATTCCTAAGCCCATCCTCTTCTCTCCATCTTCTACGTGCTCTCGGTCCACCTTCTACATGTTCTTTGTCCATCTTCTGGTCTTCTTGCAGTGGTGTTGCCTAAGTCACTTTCATAACCTTTGGTTTTTGTGGTTTCAGGTTTACACAAGTTCTTTCCTTTTCCCTTTTGGTACTTTTCTGTCCCTTCTTCGAAACTCTTACAAATTTATCCTCTTTTATTCAATTACCTTTTTATACAATTCCCCTCCTTGATTCATCACATTCCCACATATTCAACATTTCAGTAGCACAGTCCCATATCTATCCTAACACAAATGAAACGTGGCCATTTGCCTAGTCAGATATTACATCTCATTTTTGCAGTAATGGCCCACAAACCTTAATATTATTGCCATAGTTGGGGTAGAGTACATGCATAAATACTTGCTAGGCTTGCAGCCTTGAATGTGGAGACAAAGATATGACTAATTACTTTTTTTTGTCTGCACAGGGAGAAGTTAATGAACTTAGTACATATACTTCAAACACGATTCTTCATCATTGAGTTTCCATTTACAGAAACCTAGAACTGACAGGAGTCTGCATCCTCTAGTGAATACCTTATCTGTCATTCACCATAATAATTAATCGGAAAGTTCAAAAGAACGCTTTTGCTCATCTGCTCTACTCAATCTGACTGAAAGATTAAGACATTCCTTAATTTACAGTTCTACAAGAATATATTTCTTCAAAACTGATCAGGTAGTTCACTGAAATAATTTTGAAGCACGTGGATATACATTAAATCCGGTGATTAAGCTTTCAGACACACCTTATGACTAGCTGTCTTCGAAAGTCTCAGTTTTTAATTTGCATAACAATCCCTGGCTTTCTTGGAAGCATTCCACTTTTGTTGCCAGCTAGCCCACATTACAGTAGTTAACACTACACTTAATGTTTTATTGTGACTAAACATTGAGCTGAAAGCTGTATCAATGTCTGTGACTCACACAGACCCTGATCCACAGGTCTTTCTCTCGATTTCAGTTGAAGCAAATAAGTATTAAGTAGCTTAGTTTTCAAAGCCCAACACACCACCAACATAGAGCTAATCTCTAACAGCTTGTGTACACTGTCCTTGCTGTTCCCGTAGCTCGATGTGCACAGACTCTTCTGTTACCACCTTCCAAGCTGTATTTTTGCTTACCTTATTTTTTTTGCCTCTTGTCGATGAAACAAGGGTCTTTTGTTGAAGATCGTTCAGAGTTTGGGCTTTTACTTAACAACCTTCATCTTCATAGTGTCTTTTCTTCACTTATCAACAGTTGCCTTCTTCCTCTGTAAGAGAAGTGAAGCACTTGCTCCCCATCTGCTTACACTGGATCCCTCCCTCAGCAATGGGCACCCTTCCATTGCACCCACCAGCCCTAATGGCCTACCCTCATGTCACCTACAGCAGGCTCAGCTCCTGGGGGTGACCTCGCTGCCCTGCCTGAGCTAGTTACACAAACTTCATACTACTCACTACAGACTATATGGCACATAAAAGGTAAAAGGACTGACCAGTGGTGCCTGCAGTGCTGATGCATCACTCAGCCTTTACATGACAATAAACTCTAGCTGTCTCCAGTGAGTACTGCTTAAAGATATATCTTGCTTCAGTCAAACATAAAAACCATTCTCAACAAGAACAAAATTTGAGACCATGCAACAAAGCTCTAAGGCTCAGTTGTATATTCTGCTTCCTTTCTGGAAAAAGGACTAACCACTACTGACAAGACAGTACCTACTTTTCCAAGCCACCTGAATTGGTAATTCTGCTCAAACCAGGACCAAGTTCTCCTGCTTGCAACTACCATCCCCTCAAGACAGATCCATTGCCAGGTGACAGCACTCCAAATGCTTAATATCAAGACTTGATTGGAAATACATACAGACAATCTCCATTGACCATGACAACTCCACTTTCAAAATGCGCTACGATTCATGTGTTCAGTTTTCTCTTTATCTACCTCAGCAGCTGACTTTTCTTCCCAATGCTGTCTGTAGTTAAACTATGCCACCTTTTAATTATGAATTAATAAGTCTGCCTTTTTAATAAGCACGTATTATTTGGACATCTTTTTCCCCCCGAATTAGGATATGGCAACATTGAGTATTAGCAGTAATATTCATCCCCATTTCACAGGTTCACATGCCTAAACCTTTTTCCTGTCAAGCAGTATAACATTTAGTACAAAAGCATCTGCTTTAATTATAACATCTTCTAGCAAAGCAACTTCAGGGAGGGAAGAAGAAGCCAAGAAAGAAGCTTTAGCAAAGAAAGAGGTTTTAGGGCTCGTGTATAACAGCTGGTGTTACTATACATATTTTTTTTTTTCACAAGCAGTGTAACTAATGGTCCATGGCACTAATTTTGTCATCCTACCACCACCTTTCCCTTACCTGTGCTCAGCAAATGTGTCAGAACATCTAACCATCTCTGCTACTGATCACACATACTTTTAAGCCAGATTATATTGTTCAAGAAGATAAGAGAACTAATCCTTTTGGTGTATTCAAACTTGCTATCAATACCACTCTAAAAAGAGCCTTAACTTATTTCTTCTAGTCATCAGAGTAGACTTTAAGATGAACCTTTTGCACATGTAAAATTCATATGAGCAATATTTAGTTCTATTTTGCTTCTAGACATTGTTATT